GAACGAAGATTGTTCTTTGGCTTCATTATAGGATCTAGTATTCTCCTCAATGGGCTTTGCCTACCTTTATTCTTTCTGGCTGCTTGATCTCCATGTGAATTAAACAGATGAGAAACTGAATCGATTTGTTCTTCAGATGAACCTTCCCTCAAGCTAGAACTCTTGCTCATGCTTTTTAGATCAGGACTCAGTCGACGGTTAGATGATTCCCTTCCTGCTGCAGACACTGTTTTTTTTTCTGATTTTGTTGATCCTTTTGTCATATTGACTTCAAGTTGCTTGCAAGTACCTTTAGAAAATAGATCATTTTCCCCATTTCTTCGTACCAATGTATCAGTTGGTGCTACACCTTCTGACAGAACAGTGCAAGATATATCCGGTTCATCATTTTGAATGGTACAAGGGAGAGGACATGCGTGAGGAACATGAAGATACTGATGGATGATATCGACATCTTCAGCTAAATTACCTGAATGGTTGTAGCTATTTCCCTCAGTGAGCCAGTCGTCAGCAGTTAATGGGGTATCAGAAGTAAGGCATCCACTGTCCACGTTCTCTTGAAGATAATCCGATATTCCTTTGCAATCCTGGGAAATTTGTGGAAAATTGGTGTCCAAGGATTGACTATGGCCATTATCTACGCATTTTTCTGCTTTCATCGAGCTTCCATTTTGGTCTTCAGCCACTCCAGTTGAAGTGGCAGTAGCAGTAGCAGTGTCAATCTTATATCTTGAACGTGAAGCTGCAGAATGTCGAGGTAGGCATACTTCGCCTGATATGGCTTTCAAATCTGAATCTTTACTGTTACCTTTATCATGTTTATTCCCTAACAGTTTAGCACTTGGAACAAAATCTCCATTATCATTCTGTGTAGGAAACTTCGTAGAAGAGATACTTGAACTACGGACGCCTTGTAAATGTTCAGAATCTTCTCCTTCATACATCTCTGATCGGCTGCCCGTAACAGGGCTTCTCTTATGAGGAAAAACAGGAGATTTCTTCCCTCGAGAAAGAGGACTACATATGGTCTTTCTAGATTGGTTAAAGGAACCAAATGTAGCATATGCCGATGACTGAGTACTATCACATGCAGAGTGTCCGCCTCCCACATCTGTGACACATTTCTGGTGGTTCGTCCATCTCTCGAGACGCCCCCAGTCCAGAACTCCAAAATTCAGCGCCTTTCCATGAATATTATCTCCTTCCTCCAGCCGCTGAAGATAAAAGGGTACATTTGACATGTTCATAACTGGTTCGTCAAACCCTGGTCCCTTCCTACTGGGCCATGGCTTTTGAGAATTTCCCAAAGATGATGAAACTGAGTTTTTCTTCACCCCCTGCCGATCTTTGGCTGTTTGTCTAGGAAGCTTTTCAGTTTTAAGGGCCCCAACCTTCTCTAAGAGGTCGACATTCTTGATTCCGCTCGGGAATAAAAATCTCTCATTGGACAATCTTGAGGAGTTATTTTGCAGTGAGCACCTTTTTTCATGTTGACTGAACAGCATTTCTATCATTCTATCATCCTTTGCTTGAGCTGCTGGTGTTTTAAAAGGCATGTTTGGCTAGTTTTCTTTCAGAAATTCTATCAGCTTCATTGCTTTAAGTACAACTTGTTTCTTGGTACAGCACAACAGCGCTTTTCACGATTAACTGTCAACAAGATTTTGTAAGTTCATGATTTCCTTTTCTCATGTTAAGGGAGACAGAACCTTCAAATTTCAATTTCTTCTAATATCACAGTGCACAATGCTGTATACATGAAAAAGAGTGTTATCTCTAAGTGCAGATACTAAATATAATGCAATCTACAACTGAAGCATCGTATCTCATCTCACTGACCTTTATCTAACTCAAGACTAAATAAAAGATTTGTCACACTATGACTACAATTTCACTTTGTAGAACATAAAGATTTCATTTCATCTACAAACCAGACAAGAAAAAAGAAAGAGACAGAGAGAGACAGCACAAAACCAGACGAAAGGAACATGGCGTCTCCGCCACACAATTTCGCATTTTTACGAAACAATACGCGAACTTGATGCGTTCGTATGAAGAATTTCTTTGATTTGAGTCGCCGCGACGCATCAAAGAGAGGCGCACGAACAAGAAAACAAAGTGTCCAAAAACCCTAACCCGTTCACCGCCTCTACTAGAAGTGAGCAGTGGATCTACAGCAATCCGGCCGAATATCAAACCCGGAAGTGCCTACACTTTTCGTGGATCCCAAGAAACGAAAGCGTAACATGTGCAAGCAAGCAAGCAATCAGAGAAAAAAGAAGAGGAAAAGAGAAAGAATGTTAATCAAAAGAGTGAGCATATACTCGTCGGAGGAAACAGAGCAGCGCCGTACCAGAAAGGAGAAGAACTCGAGATGTAGATCTGCTCGGCCCCTTCTTCGCCGGTCTCTTCAAGGTAGTCTTGGGAGACCAAAGGAAGAGGAAGGAGCACGACCAAACCAGAGAGGGAAGGGAGGAGAGGTCTGTTACTCTGCCGCCACCAACCAACGGGCTAAAGTGGACGACCCGGCGATGGCATTCTTTAAGTGCGGAGGCGCAGAGCGGGCGGCGGGGGTGCCTCTTCCGTGGAGCGGCGGGAGGAATCAGCCGACAGCGACGGCGGTGGGTTGCGAGTCCGTGGGGTGGGAACGGGTGCGTGGTTGGCGATGAGGCCAGCTGGTGGAGGGAAAGAAATGGACGGGAGTTGAGTCGCGAGACAGAGCTGCGGGCCCCGCGCCGCTTCAGCTCCGCGTCGCTTAAATTTAAACGCCTTTCCCACCCATTCGTACACCCCACCCAATCGTATGCTTGCGGGTGGGGTCACCGTGAAAACAATTCTTTCGCTACGCGCTGTCGTAGACACAAACCGCGTACCGACCACAGGTTGGCTGGAATGTCAAAGCGGTGGGGCCCCGCTGAGCCTGATTTCGTGTCTGTCGGTCCACGCGTGAGTAAAATATGTTTCTACCCAAAGAGAGGACCACAGTGTATACTATTGCTTCGTATGCGTTCATCCATATAGATAATCCAAAGTGCACTGATTTGAATTCTCCATCATGATAAGTTGTGAGTGCGAAGGCACTCATTGAAGGAAGTAATAATCATGACCACGCAAGATGTGATGTTGATGACGATAAAGATACAGGTGACATTCTGCTTGAGTTGATGCACGGCGACGACGAATTATTATCATCGGTGCTTTGATGGAAGCAGTCTTTTTGCTAAAGCAAAGGAGGGCAATAAAGTTTGCGAACGCTTTCTCCTTCGGAAGAAACAGAAAGGTAGGAAGGAATGTGTGTGAGGGTGGCAAAGATCAAGTCTTTATCACTTGACTGCACATATAATATGTTCATGTCGCAGATAGTTGAGTTGTTCTCGTCAGCTTTGAATCGTAGATTAGTCTTGGAAATTACATAGTAAGTTTCTTGGGATGAGTTTTGAGAGAGCATATTCTAGTATCATCCTCGCGATGACACTCGATAGTCACATCAACACCGACGTAGAGTCTCAGGATTGATACGGTGCATTGCGTCGACGTGACATCTCAAACTTGGATGGAACGATCGCCTACTCCCGTGCTGTTCGAGGTCGTATAATACAACGTCACATAGTATAAAGTCGTTCCGAAAAGTTTAGAATGACATCGCGTAACGTCGATCCATGTAGGCCGATCGACACTTGCATGGAAGGTACAGGTCGATCATTCAAAAAGTCGATGGGCATTAACAGATCATGTATAACCGACATTCGTTCACATATATAAAAGTCAATATCCTAACTAGTGTCGGGGAGACTTCGAACACTCAGCTCTCCCTAATTTCACTCGATATTAACTTGAACTTCGGAGGAATCGAGTTAAAATTTTTTTCTCCCGACCTTAACCTGTGTGCATGAACTCAACAACGAAAAAGCAATAATTGGACGAGGGAGGAAAAGCACCTCTTTGCTCTATCTCGAATCAATTCTGGAGACAAAGTATGTACTTGACTTAACGTCGATCACCTCCGTTCGAGTATCCACATGGGTGACTATATACTCAAGATTGGATCAAACGGCGTAAGGTTCTCCGACAAGTTTATTATCTCTAATGTTTTAAGACTTGGTAGTAAGTTTCAGAGGTCGTGTGGATGCTCTCAGTGTGCAGTGAGCGCCCTGCGCTGGGAGGCACGCAACGTGATGGGCACATGATGGAAGGTGCGCCGGCACGCCTCGAGCGCACGTAGAGCTCACGAGAGCGCCCATGCGGCCGTGCTTTTTTCCTTGGGGTCTCACAATTAAAGAGATCTCAGCTGCCTTGTGATAGATAATAAATAGATATGAAAGAGGCATATCCATCTGTAGGGAAGCTTATCATCTTCTTATTTAACTCCAGAGTAAAACCTAGTTGGTATGGCTGATGTAATCTTTAGCAGATTCCTTGTGATCCCTCAAAATCAATTTTTTTGTTGAAAATTACTACACAGACGTTTAATAGACTTCTTCAATTTTATTTTAATATTAACCATTTATGTTCTCTATAATTGGAAGATACTGATATAATTAACCATATTTTCTTTACTTGTTCTGTCTCCTCCCAACTATGAAATTTTTGGGAAACAAAGCATGTCATTATTTTTGAATACCTTGGGGGATTGGTTAAGGGAAGATAATAATAACCATGGAATGGAAAACATGCTATAGCAAACCAGCTATATATAGTTCATCTGAAAAATGAGAAATGAAGTCATTTTCAATAAGAGGAAGCCTTCTATTCATTAGATTTAAGTTGACCAATTTAATTAGACTCAATTAGGAAAAGCTATTTGTAGGCTGATTTAAGTTGAATTCTTCTAATAGGTTCTCTTTTAGCAGGAAGGTGGTCTTCACTTCATTATCAATCAGAGATCAGAACCTGTGAGGAAAAAATTATCCTTGGATGTGAAGCCTCCTCGGCAAAAAGAGGACTGCAATATGCTATTGATAAGCACTACACACACAACAAGTTCTTCCAGAGATGGATTCTACAACAATTGTTGAGCTGCTCACATCAGATAAAGAGCCCCCATAGTAATATGCTTTTGACAAGCACTACACACAAGTTCTTCTTCTGAACATGGATTCTGCAACATTTGTTTGTTTGTATGTATCTCACATACAATTCAAGACATGATGGTAATACAAATTTGTCCACTGCTATAGAGAGTGCAACCAATTGGGCTGCCAACACAATAAGAATCAATAGAGCTGCCAACCTTATTGCAGCTGCTGTTGTGATGTATAGAGCATGTATCAGTAGGTCCAGTCATGGGGGAGTCTGATCTCACGGATCGCAGGAGGAGTTGGGTGGGGAAGCCGGTGGTTCCTTTTCTGATGTGAAAGCACTGCGTCTCGTCGGCTTATGAGAGCATCTGTCGAAGCACAAGACGTGCGTTTAGGAGGAGAATAGGATTTGGTCAACTGGTGCAATCTTTTGCGAGTGAGTGTGGAATGAACAGAGAGCAACTTGCCATGATCGAGGACCAAGTATGGCTTCCCTCCCATCTCCTCCAGATTTAGATTCAGCGCCTGGACCACTCTTTCCGGCACAAGCACAGTGGAGTAAGCTGCTGCAACCACCCATAGCAAAGAGGAGCTGTGAGAGCTGAGCGATACGAGTCATTTACATCCGTCCAAAATCTAATGGATGAATAGAAAAACGATCTCTGATCAGAGCAGAAGCAGAGCATACAACAACACCGAGAGGCATCCGAAGATTCCACGAGGAAGGACGAAGCTAAAGAGGTCCGTACCTGGTTTCTTTGGCGGCTCGGACGTGTCGCCGCCGACGCGTGGCAGGAAGACGCCGGTTCCGGCGGATTCTCTCCTCGCGCTGGGGCTGCTGAGGAAGACAGCTCTCATCCCAGATCCAGGCTGCTGTTGCTGCTGCTGCATTTGGAGAGGACGGCGTGCGGAAGAAGACAGTCCCGTGGGACGGCCACGGTTGTGGGAATGCACGCCTCCTTTTGCTTCACTCTGCCTTGCCCACGCTGCGAACAACCGTTGTCTCATCAGCTGCTGCTGCTGCTTCAGCTGGTGGAACAAATTGGGAGCAGAAGAAATCGAAGAAGATTGAGAGACCATACGAAGTCCGCCAATAAAATCCTTTGAACTGAAACGAAGGGCCACCTGAGTTGCCTGAAAGCGCTGCAAGTGGATGGGGACGGGGGACGTGCAGTGGCCGCTTTTGGCGGTCTCGCAATGATTTGAGAAAGACAGCGCAGGCGGCAGGGCAACTAACGAAGGAGCGTCGAGGCTTCCCTTCTTCTCCGAGATGAACCGACCGCGGAGAGCGGTTCCATGGGAACCGGCCGTGAATCCATACCTCCCGTCACAATACTGAAATCATCAGCGGATGCACGTTAAAGGAATGGGAAGGGAAGAACGCTTCGTTTCGCAAGCAGCATACTTTAGTGTCGCCGAGGAAGGAGCCAGGCGTCTGCCAAGCTAGCCCGGTCATGCAGAGGCATTCGTCCTCCGCCGGCCAGTCGAGATTCATGGCGAACTCCTCCAGGAAGCGATCGTCTCGCCTTCTCTTCTCCTCGAGGAAATGATCGTCGCAAAGGAAGTCGGAAGGGAGGCAGACCTCCTCCTCTCGTTGCTCCTTGGCCATCGCTCAAGTAGAGCAAGCTGCGGAAGCCTCTCCTCTCTGTTTCCCACAACTAACGTATATGCTCTCTGCTAATGTTCTTAAAATGTTTGGCAACTTTGCCAAATCACATTTATTAGTTTCCTTTTTGCACACATGATGAACATATATGAGGCCGTCTCGTGGGTTGTGGACCGGTCTGCGAAACCCTTTCTTCACTTGGAAGCCTTTTCTCGGTCTTCCATGTACCACTCAACTCTCTTCTTTTTCTTTTCCTTCTCTCAAGTGTCGTCTTAATCGTTACGCTTCTTCGAGTTCCTTCTTCTCGTAGTCTCTGGGGACGACAAATTAGCCGCTTTCGGTGGGTGCTTTGACGCTTTGCTTCGAGTCGCATGCGCCTAACCGTCCACATCGAACTCATCGTTTCTTCTACGGAAGTCACCGACGGTTGTTTAGTGGATGATTCCTCCCATCGATCGGATAAAGGATGCTGGTATTCCGGAATGAACTAAAAGAAACACGCACGCATTGATGAGGATGTGAAGCATCTCTTTAAGGCCTGACAGAATCTTGAGTGGTCCTGAAGCTTGTGGCACAACTGATCAGCCATGTAACGGTGTTTCTTGATTCCTTACTTGGTTGTTTATAGAAAATCTTGGGAAGGGATGTCACTCGTGGTCATATTGACATGGAACTTTTAGACCGATCATGGACTTAGTAAAGCAGGTGTTAGTGCTTCCAGGAAAATAATTATTCTTGATATTGGTGTAGGCTATCAGGCATTAGGTCAGTCAAAGTAGGGACATGAGCACTATTAACTAAAGCCGACGTTGACTAGAAATCTTGGTGAGTGGGCTATTGTTGTTGGATCTCCCCCCGTAATTTCCTATTAATCGGCATATTCACATGGGGTGCAGCTATCACGTGACCAGCTCTGATACGTTTTCAAAATCGTACCCTATATAAATCGTCATGTTTGGATTTAAATCAAAAATTCACATCATTCACAATAAGTCAACTCGAGGACAGGTCGATCTTCCAGATCTTGGATCTTATAACAGTGACTCACTTCTTGTATGGATTATAGTCTTCCTTTTCTTTTGCATCCATGAGGAAAGATCATTGGAGTAGCATAGTCCATTTCCACCTCCTGTGTCGCTTCCTGTTCGCCTTCTCTGTGCTCTCATCAGTATCCTTGATCTTCTGGTCTCAGTCCTCTGCGTCCTGCAACGGCGAAGCCGCTCTCAACCCGGAGAAGCGGAACGAGTCCTTCCATCTCCTAGCCTTTCCCTCTGCGCTGAACCAGCTTTCCTTCTCCGCTAAACCTCCGCGGAGGCTCCTCAAGGTCGCTCTCTTCGTGAAGCGATGGCCGCACCGCAATCTCGCCGGCGGACTCGAAAGGCATGCCTTGACCCTGCATCTTGCGCTCGCGCGAAGAGGCCATGAGATACACGTCTTCACCACCAAGTCAAACGCCACCTTCCCCCGCCACAACGACGCCGCCATGAGCTTCCACCAGACCCCGCCCTCCCCTGCTGGTTACCTCAACCAGGCGCTGGCGTGGGAGCAGTTCCAGACCGAGAACGCCACCGGCAGGCCCTTCGACGTGATTCACTCCGAGAGCGTCGGCCTCCTCCACGGCCGCGCCCGGAACATCAGCAACCTCGCTGCTTCTTGGCACGGGATCGCCTACGAGACTATACATTCCGACGTCGTCCAGGATCTGCTCCGCGGCCCCGACGAACCCCGGCGGCCTACAATAACGGAAAGGCTCTCCAAAGTGATCGAAGAGGTGAAATTCTTCCCCCACTACGCGCACCACGTCGCGACGAGCGATCACGTCGGCGACGTCCTCAAGAGGATTTACATGATACCGGAAGAACGAGTTCACATCATCGTGAACGGGGTGGCCGAGAGCATCTACAGGCCAGACCAAAAGATGGGAGAGGAGTTTAGGAGGAAGGTCGGGGTACCTGACCGCGCGAGATTAGTGATAGGACTAGCAGGAAGGCTGGTGAAGGACAAAGGACACCCTCTCATGTTCGAGGCACTGAAGCAGGTCTTTGGTGAGGAAGAGAGATTCCAGAGGGACGTCTTTGTTCTGGTTGCTGGGGATGGGCCGTGGGGCAACAGGTACAAGGAGCTCGGACGAAACATCATCGTTCTTGGTCCTCTGGAGCAAAGCGAGCTTGCAAAGTTCTACAACTCACTCGACGTTTACTTGAATCCGACCCTCAGAGCACAGGGACTGGATCATACCTTCATCGAAGCAATGCTGTCAGGGGTGGCCATCGCCGGCACACGGTTCGCGAGCATTACAGGCTCTCTGATAGTAGGATCGAACGTCGGTTACACGTTCTTGCCAACAGTCGAGTCACTGAAGGAGTCCCTGTACAAGATTATGAAGGATGGGAAGCAGGTTCTGTCGAAGAAAGGGGAGGTCGCCAGGAGCAGAGCGCTGCATCTGTTTACGGCCACGAAGATGGCCGCTGCTTACGAGAGACTCTTCCAGTGCATCTCCAAGGAACCTGCAGTAAAGGACAACATCGATTACTGCCGATACCCTCTTCCATGGGATTCGGGTAAACTGAAGTAAGACTCATTTGATGGTACGAGATGGAAGTGAGAGTATTGAAGCGTTTACAGTGGCAGTTTTCACAGGGTTGATGAAGCTGAGAAATTTGGGAGGATGCACATATAAAACAGCCTTCAGATTGATCCATAAGCATCACCATTTAGATAGCTGCCAATGAGCTGTGGATCCACCTGGATTGCTACGACGATCCCCAGGGCGCAAAATCTTGCGGACTGCTGGGGCTGCGGAGTGCTGAAACTGGTTGAATATTGGTGCTTTAATTCATGCATGTATTAACTGGTAGCCACCCTTTTCTGTGATCAACCATGACAATCTCACTGTACTGAACACCTTTAGCATTTCTATTAATTAGTTGACAATTATGAGATAAAAAGTTTAAAACTTAGTTGAGCACTTAGCATAAAGAAGCTTCCAACCTTCGCAAGAATCCACACCTTCAATGCCATGTCATGATGAAGTTAATTATGGCCTTCAAAACAAACAAAAGATTAAAGCACTCGTATATTAACCAGATAGATCATAGACGAGAAAAATATATCAATATTTAACAAATTTCTTGTGCAATGACTACAATGAGCACCAGCATCTCAAATGTGAAGATAGCAGCCATCATCAACTCCAAAGTAATCAGGTTCAATAAGAAACTGTTTCTTTTCCTCTGCCAAGAACAACATCCAAGTGAGTGGAAAGCTTGTTCTTAGATGTTACAAGCAAACCTAAAGGAAGAAATGGCTGTCGAATCCAACAAGAATTTTTATCTTATGTGGTATTGACTAAAGTACAGAATGTCAGGCAAACATGATAGTCAAACATATATATAGTAACTGCTCAAACTATCTCTTTCGAGTGATGAAAAAATTAGGGGTAAAGAAAGCTAAGCAAAACTGCTAAAAGTGGACATGATCAATATTTATTAACATGTCAAACACAGCTCGTGAACCTGCCCTGACACTACCGATCCAGTAATTTTCGTTGAGCCCAAAACCATGTGATCTAAATTGCTTAGCCCTAGAAACCAACAAAATCCTCCTCCCAAATTTAACTCTATTCAGATTTGCTTTCAGCTTATTTTTCTTATGTTATTCTCAACACATTTGTTCTTTCTTCAATCTCCGACCAGGTCTTATGACAAGTGACACTAATCAAATAGATGAAAAAGAAGGAAGCACAACATATCAACAACCATACACAAGTATAGTTACCCATGACACCTAAGATATTGGTCCTTTGGTGTCAGATGCTGCAAAAATAACATCATGAAAATAGAAATATGAGCATGGCTATTTAATTACAGCATATACGTGACTAAAGCATTTGATTTGTTTCTAGCAACAGAGCTTTAGTTTGTTTCTGGGTGCAAAAAGTTAATATGCCGATATTAAAAGTTTTAGAACTTAAACTAATCCTCAGAGGAGTCAGAATTTAGACAATAAAATAGAGGGATAAGAAAGCTAAAGACTAAAACAAAATTTGACTAGACAATTTTAAAATGATCAAATTTTTCAATGAAGAAAATTGCCTATGAGATCATTAGTCGAGTTTCTTATGGTTTGTTATCTCACCCTATATAGTTGAGAGAAACGATAGAGGTCTTCTCCAATATCTGATGATAATCAGAAAATTGGCATCATAAACTATGAATGGTACTCTACTATTTGTACCAGATCTAATGACAAATGTCCTTCGATATCTATTTATTCTCAAGCCATGGGACACACCATCTTTTTTCCTTTGAGCCCATATGAAGTAAAGATTATGGGTTACATATGAAAGGGCATGTCCATCCATAGTCTATCTTGGACGGTCAAAGATTGTGCTGCATGACTACAGAAGAACAATCAAATTCATGTCAATTAATTCAAGTATCAAGCATCCACGAAAGAGAATTGATACCACAAGAACCATATCTAATTTCAAAACTATGATTATAGTTCTCCCAGTAGAAAAAGAGCAAGCACATAAAATTCCAATTAAAAAAATATACTAGGTCTATAATACGGCTCCCTGCTTTAGCAACCTAAACAATTTCCCTGTCGTAAACTCAATCTCTATGTGATCTTGCGAGTAAGCTGACAAGGGATAATTAAAGGTGATAATCTTAGAAGCAGAAACATAGAATAGATGAGGAGAGCAATCCTATCGAATCATAGAAGATCACTGCGGTTAGCAAGTAGCAGCAAATCCTCGCCAACACTAATTCATGCAGTGATCGGAGAACTAGCAATTCAACAAGCACATGGCATTGTTCTCAAATAAAGTAAATCTAACTTGAATTGTCATTTCCAGGCCCTTAAAAGTTGATGGTTTCCATTAATCTCAAAAAAGAAAAGAAAATAAGTATAATAGCAATCACCAGCAAGAATGCGAGATGGAAGTGAAGGATGGCAACCTAGGCTATTCGAGGGACCAGTAGAAGCATTGGCCCCGAGGATAGGAGTGCTGGTCTCCGGAAAAATCACCTGCCGTGCTGCGTCTCCGCGAAGCTATCTGCGCGCCAACAAATGTAAGAAAAATTCTCGTAATCGCAATTGACATCAACATCAGAGAATGGGGAAAGAACAAGGAAAGGAAGAAGAAGAAGGGGGAGATGAGCATGTTGCGGATGGTCTGGGAGACCACGATGTGCTTCTTGTTGACCACGAACTCGAAACCCTCGGCAGTTATCAGCTTCACCGTCTCCTCTTTCCCTCTGTGGTATCTTCGCCCTCCACTCCGCTTCATCGCCACCAACACATTTAGGGGTTGTAAACGGATCGGGTATATTCTATTCGGGTACAGATCATTTGGATTGAAGGACAGACATACATTAAGCAGAATAAAGCTTCGGGGCAATATATCGAATCCATATTTAATCTGCAGAAGCTTTAGTTACAGAGGACCACTAAAGGCGTTCAGTAAAGTCATTTAACTATTCTACTATTTGACCATAATTAATTACGAGGAGAAAAGAGGTTGCAATCTCGTCTGTATAAGCATTCTTTTCATGGCAACTTTCTTAAAGCACCAGCTGGACCCAGTGAGCCACACTTGGCACCATCTGGTTCACCACGAACGCCATGTAGTACCCCGGCGGCGCCACCCTCCCGTCCGGCGGCGCCTTGCACCCAAACCTGTAGCTGTAGGGCGTCCCGTCCCCCCCGCCGTCCGCCACCGTCACCGCTGGTGAAACGGCCAGCTTCACCATCCTCTGCCCCTGCGAGAAGGAATGCGTGGCGAATGGCGCGCTCAGCAGGTTCACCTCCATCAGTCCCACCAGCGGCAGCGGCACCTCCACCTCCATCACGAACTCGTCCCCGTACCAGACCCTCTCCGGAGCCGCCATGATCACCGGCCGGAGACTGGCCTTGTCTGCCGCCAGGTACTCGGGCGAAAAGGCTTCGACACGGAGCTCCGTAGGGAAGTCCCCTGCGAAGCGGTAGAAGTAGTGCGGGTTGCTCCCGGCCACGAGGACGCGGCCGTCCGGAAGGAGGTTGGCAGTGGAGTGGTACATCCGAGGGATGGTTGTCGGAGTCAGCGTCATGAACCGCAGGCCGGCGGGTTGGTCGGGCCGGTACAGCACGGGGTTCAGGCACGGGTTGGAGCCCATCTCGTAGCCCTGCGACCCTGCCTGCGCGCCGTTGATGATGAGCACCTCTCCCGTTGGGAGCATCACCATGTCGCCCATGACCCTCGGGAACGGCATCTCCTCCACGGCCCAGGCCCCGTCCGGGTCTGTCGCCGAGATCCGGCCGCAGGTTGTGGCGGCAGGCATGTCGGTCTGTCGGTGGAGGAAGACCCCGTACTGAGCGCCACCGCAGACTACCACCTCGGCCCTCGTGTAGCCGTCGGCCGGATCGAGAGGGAGCATAGTGGAGGAGCCACCGGACGGGTAGTTCCGGGGTCCACCGTCGAGCTCCGGGTACTCGCGGACGACGTCACCCGAGTCGACGTCGTACAGGATGGAGCGGGCGTTAGCAAAGACGAAGAGGCGGCCGTCGGGGAGGAGGTGGACGAAGGGATATAGGTTGTCCATCTGGGCGTCCTCGGCTGTGGCGAGGAAGGGGAAATTGCGGAGGGGGCGGGACGGCGGGTAGAACTCGACAGAGGGGGCGGCGCGGCCGCCGACGATGACGACAGAGCCGTCGGGTAAGATCTGGTTGGTGGCGTACCATCGACCGTCGGCGAGGAGCGGTGAGTCGAGCTCCAACCAGTCGCAGGAGCCGGCCAAGGGGCAGGGGGAGAAGGCGCGGAGCTTGCGGAGGCCGTCGAGGTCGCCGCCGGACTGGAGGAGGGTGCCATTGGGGAGGAACTGACCGGAAGAGCACCAGGTGTCGGTGAGGACGGAGAGGGGGCGGAGGCGGCGGGAGGAGGGATCGAGGAGGGCAGAATGAGCTGAGCAGTCCTTGCCGCCTGGGGGGAGGAGGCTGTCGCCGGGGTCAATGCGGCAGCGGCTGCGAGGGAGGCGTAGGCGGGAGGCCCCGATGCCGGTGCGATCGAGGAGGACCACGGTACCGAACCGGGTCACGGCAGTGTGCATGGAAGCGATTCTCGCGTCCTCCAGCACCACCTCCCAAGTGCCCGGGAGCTGCTGCGCACGTAACGACCGGCACGCGCACGTAAAGAGAAGGCCAACGAGGAAGAAGAGGCCGGGGATTCCTCCGGACTTGATCGAAGCGAAAGCAGAGGCCACTGCCATGGTCGCAGGGATGAGAATTTGGGACCCGTACCTCTGACAGACGAAGGTGATATCGTCAGTCAGAAGTGGGAGTGTTTTCGTGGTTGCAAACAAGCCGGAGGATGGATAACGATGGATGACGGAAGGTAATTGATGAGGAAAAGGAAGAAGCCTTGAATCAAGTGAGGGTGTTAGTGGTGAAGCTGGTGATTGGCACTTTGACTCTCAAAAGCGTCCGATACTGGAAGGGAATCTGATGATGTCGGACGTAGATTTGGAAGGATCAAACACGCACCGTCGAGAAAGCACAGCTGGAAAGGGAGTGGCAGCCTACCGTTTTGGCACTTGCGACAGCGTGTCCCTCGTCGGCGGATGAGTCCGACTGCGAGCGACCGAGGAGGCGGCCCGCTACGTGCGAGTGAGGGGGCGGTGGCACCCAAAGAACTTCCGCGTGTCGCAATGGTGCGGGATCAGCACTCTCGGAGGCACAGTACAGCTGTGGTTTAGGAGCCCTGCGTTTCTCACGCTTTGAGATCCCCTGTGGCGTGATTCGGACAGCACTACTGACATCCATGCTGGGCTGCAAGCAGGGTGGGATTGTCTTCATCTTAGGCTGTAAGTCCATCAGTGTCTCACAATTACAAAGACCTAAGGCCGGCCTCCGTCCTTCCATGTTTCCTCCGGGAGTAGTGGCAACGATCGCATGAGCATATAAGAACTCCTCACTTGGTCAGCTCCGTGACATCATCGTGATCGCCGTCTGCTCCGGCGAGTCTGACGCCGACGGCATCGCCCACCACCAACACGGCACCCACTGCTGCACGTATAACAAGATCTGGACAACACGTCATTGGTGAGAATGACCTTCTTGTTAATACAGAATCACATGAACCCCTGGAAACCTTCTTTGATGTTGTCTTGCTATAAATGCTCGCCATATCGCAGGGCCTTTGGTTTGGACTCGGTCCTGCAAAGCCGTGACACGTCTTCATCTTCGTTCTCCTTGGAGACTCTTCCTTTGCAAGATCTTCTGTGCATCTGACATCAGACAAGGATCCAAAAGACTGGGACTTCCCTTCAAAGTACTTGGAGAGCCCTCTTCTGCAAGTTTCAAACTTCATAAGCAGCTAAATGATGAAGAATCAGTATCCATTAATCTCTGTTAGAGTTCAACTTCTAGTGAGTTGCTGAAGTGAAAAGAACGACAAATCTAAGGACTTGTGTTACTAGCTTGAAATGAAGCTCGTGATTCCCACCATAAGAATCATACAAAGGACATGATTACAGCTATTATGACTTATCGATCGCTCTTTGCCTTTCCATCATTTGGTAGAGAAAAAAACATGATATGCATGGAGACGATTTGGAACTCACTTGATTGGCAGCTCGGCCATGATCGACGATAAGTCGAAAAGAGATCCATTAAAATCTGACAGTGGTGGCCAGCTAGGAGACGAGGAGATGACATCATCTGAGAGCATCGAATGATCAGAAAGAATCACCACAGAAAGAAGACGATTCACACATTTACACCCAGTGATCTTTCACCCATGCTTGTTAGTTTGTGAATGTAGAAACAAAGTTTATGGAAGTCTGGAAGAGATGAGGCACTGAAGGTTACTTGGATCCTCACACACAGTAATGTGACTCACTGTTACATGAATGAGGAATTAAAGCACGTACCTAAAAGTCGACACACTTCGTTCCTACCTAATAATCTTACCCGCTGTTGTCGTTTCCTGTTTCAGGTCCATGGAGTCACTTGCGGGACTCTTGCTATCCTCCAATCACATGGCAGGTGAGTGAGCGGGTGACGATAAGAGGACGTATCTTTTCTGCATTTGGGCTGGTCTGGCGGAAGGACCGATCTAGTTGAGGGCCAAACCCGAGCCTAATATGATCCAACCGGGTTCGATCTGATTCAAGAAAACGGGGGGCCCCGTCGGGTGATCAAAAACGTCACGTGCCACCCGATTGGAAGATCCAACCGTCAGAATCGATTTCCCGTTTCAACAAGAATCGTATTGTGCACGATGGTGATCGGCGTCGTGCGATCCTAAACGTCCGGTACTGCGTGATCGTGTGATCCGACGGTTGAAATCGCTTTGCCACGTCAATCGCTAGAATCGGGAAAAGGAGGAGGGAAGTTGAGGATCGGTGATGCCTTCTCCCTGATTCGAGAACGGGGAGAGGGAGGAGAGATAGAGACGTTGCGGAGTCGAGGATGTCTTCGCCCGCTGAGTGAGCCTCGAATCTACTCGATATATCTTCGTCAAACCCTAACTTATTTTGGTATAATGTATAGATTTAAGATGATGTTAGTGGTCGATTACGATTTAAATCGCCTACTACTTGATTTTTGTCATTCTTTATGATTGTATTGTTTTTTGTTTTGGTTTGTGAGTAGAATTGATATGTTCGGTCGCTGTATTGCGTACGAAATTAGTGGGATTTCGTAATTGAGCTACTGCTTATATATTTTCTTTTCGTGAATTGCGTTACGTATTTGTGAATGTGATTTGGTACATTACAATTAGAGGTTAATCCGATTTACGGCTACATTTGTACATAAAGACAAAGGATAAATGACCAATAAATTTGTCATGGAAATTCTTAGAAAATACTCCAACCTTTTGTCAAATAGAAGGACAGTTTATTTTTTTAATATAAATGATTAACATTGGAAATTCATCAGTAACATAATAAATAGAAATTGGTTATAATATTTCACAAATAAATCTTCATTTCTTGATAGTGTTGTGCGATCAATTTATGGTTGATACTGTAAAAGATATTTCTCATTGCAAGTAGACACCAAGTTATTAATCGTACTTAAGTGCTGTCAAACTTTGTTCTTGTTTCATGTACCCATGCACTTTGAAGGGTTTTTAATACTCGTTGCATTACTCAATAGTGGACAAAATGCGAAAAAAAAAAGCCAATTTTGAAGCAGTGGAGGATATAAACTATATTTTGAATTGGGTTCCTAAAGATAAAGTTTATTCAGGAGTGACTTTTTATTTACAAATGTGGCAACACATGAGACAGAGTATGAATTCTTACCACATGCCCATGGAGAAATTCAGAATTC